TTAAAATTTAAATTTTTAATCAAATATCACATATAAGAACTTATTCACCTTTATTAATAAAAAGTTACACCCTAGTTGAACACTGTTTCAAAGTGACATTTCCATACTAAACGTCACTTTAAAACAGTGTTCAACTATTTTCGATTTAAAATTAACAAAGTATGTTACTATTTACGGAATAATTGCACAGACTTGAAAATATATTTTGTACTATGCAGAATACACCTTGTACAATTCGTACATAATACCTAACTAGGAAATGAAGACTAAAGTACATTGTCAGTTGTATAATCTTTGTCAATTACCGTCAAATGACAGTTCAACGCGTCAATAGTTCTCCTCTGTCATTATCTTTCCTCAACTGATTGTTTGGCAGTCTGAGAACTATCAATTTGGTGACACTGACACTGTGACTGACACCAACAACTTTGTATTGTTGACACTATGTAAGTGTAGGTTGTAGTTTAAATGGTAGAGTTAGCAATGTCAGAGTGATTGGGCAGATTTTGTAGCTAGTTACTACGTTATTTTTACAATGGTGTTGTGTGCGAAAATGTAGAGCTGAAAGCAAGCGTAGTTGTATTTTTATTTGTTAATTACTAAAGGAGGAATTATAAAACACATTTATGTGAAAGATTAAGCATTCAAATTGAGTTGAAGAAAAGATAAATAAAGATAGTAGGATAAAATCAACTCAAAAATTAGGAAATTAACTAGTGGTTTGCGAATGCGACTTGACCATCACTGGTTGGGTTTTTATTGGCGGTCAAGCTGTAGATCCTGGCTACACAGGAGTTGCAGCGGTGCGGTGGGCACGAGAGGTGGGAATAGTCCCGTAGTGGTTTGCGATTGTTTTTATTTCAAGTGACAAGTAAAAAAAATTTTTAAAACATATTTTGACACGTAGGAACATTTTGATTGCGCAATATGCCCCAAAATTAACTACTCTCGAAGTTCCCGAAACGCCGAAAGATACACGTCAGCACGAAAAGGCTAATTCTATTTTTTACTTTTTACGAGTTAGGGAAGTATTTAAAAGGCCTCCTCCGAATAACGACCCGTTAACCCTTGCTGAGTCACAGGGCTCGGATCATTGCAGCCCGAGCAACAAAGTGAACGAAGTAAACGAGAGTTCAAGGGCAGAACTTTTACAATATTTCATATTCGCCAAAGGATTCCGGCACCTGACACCTCCTACAAAAACGTCTGCCACTTTGCTTTAGGGCTGTCGAATGATGGGTTAAGAGACAACAGTTAATAACTTTAATCAGTTTTTGGTTGTCAGTGTTTTGAGGTGTAGAGTTTTTTAACCGACTTCAAAAATGAGGAGGTCCTCAAATCGGTTGGTATGTTTTTTTAGTATTGGTAAATGAATGAATGTGGGTATGATTTTCAAAACAATTCAGGACTCTACATTCCAATTTTTAGTTTCATACAGGTTAAATTTATCTTGTCAAACAAATTGTTTTTTTCAAAAACTACATTTCAGGAGGGTGCAAAAATATATTCGTCTCATTCATTTTTTATTTTAATTAATTTCGCTATGTTTTTTTTTGTTTTGAAATACTTATCGGAAACTCTATTATTCCATGTCTCATGTTGATATGTTTTTAATATAATAAAATAAAATAAAGTAATGAATAACAAAGTTGCCAGCCCTAAAATTTCCTTCCACTTTCCAGAATTTCCTTTTTTCAACTTTTCGCTTTGATGTCCTGAGTGTTACCCTCCGAATTTTGGCGTTCGCCGCCCCTACAAGTGTTCTGCCTACACTCGAATACTTAACTCGGCCAATTGAAACTGTTATTTTGCGATGATATTGACATTCGGGGCAATTGAAATGTATACTTTATGTTTTTTATATCGTCTCGTCATGATATTATTATGCTAGTTATACATTATACCACGTAACTTTGAAAAAACTGTATGTGTGAGAAGTTTTAGCTCTATACTCTTGAATATAGTTAATGTAGTCTAGGAGCCTAGGCCACAAGAAATTGCTGCAGTGTATTTACTTAACTAAAGATTTTTTCTTGTTTTCACAAGTAAGTATAACTTGTGTGACGCAGTTTTACCTATTTTTACTTCTTAACATTTTAATGCCTGCGGTTTTGCTTTATTTAGCTTAGAAAAAAGTTACAACGGTCCCATTCCCCGCATTCAGATTCTAAGCGTTATCAAAACTATATTTTAATTTATTACATTGCCTTTCTAAAAATATTATAAAATACGTTCAGCAGTTCAATTGCAATATCACAGTTGTAATATAAACATAGGGAATCTACGATGTATAGACTGTATACCTACTACAGTGCACATTACTCGCGTGTTTTGGTAATTGAAAAAATCTGTCCATAATCACTTCCTCCAAATGATTTCATCTTCATGAATTGTAATTTCAGTTTAACTCAATCATCTATTTTATGTATGTATTTATTTATTATATATTTTATATATTATTTATGTATGTAGCATAATTATTTGTTTTTGTTTTTCTTTCCTTTCCTGCACTAGAAGTACCGCCAGACAAATTTCTTTTCTGCTCAACCCAAAGGTAAACTGGTCGAGAATGCTTTAGTGCGTTAAGTTCGCCTTATGTACAAATTTATTTTGGCATTAAAGTTTAAAAAAAACCTGTCTTCTTCCTATCTACTACCGTTTTATAAGCTTAGATCTATTGAAAAAAGTTTATAACAGTTCTATTTATACGGCAAATATTCAACATAAATCTTAACAATATGATAAATGGCTTATTTACTGTAGTTACATTGTACAATACAATCGTATTGTAGGTGACAACATGTTATAAAATACATCTGGTACAATTAAAATCACATACCATGATATATGGACGCGAGGAATGTATTTTATTGCTTTTGTGGCAATAACAATTAGTAATATACAACCTAATAATAATTTTGATCTATTTATAAATGAATTATAACTGTTGTAATGTTAATAAACTGATTCTAACACATGCCATAGTTATATTGTATTTTGTGTAGAATATAGCGACAACTTATGACAACATTAATATTAAAAGTATACAATGTTTTTTGAATTAAGGCTCTTTTGATACAGAAAAAAATTGTTAGGTGTTAAGGATCTGTCGCCAGAATCAATATTTTTTTCTTATCGTAAAAAAATTAAAATATAAAATGTACCTAACTAAATAGGTAGGACTTTCTGGTAACATGACATGGTTAATGCGTGGAGAATTTAGCAATCATTTCAGATATAATTTTTTGATAAACGAAATTGTACTGATTAAAGTAAACTACAATTTAAATAAGCAGTGTAAGTACTAAATGCTACTACAATGGGATATGTAAACAATGAATCATAACATAGTTTATGGCATGTTTGGCAGAGTGGTAGAGTCTAATCGCCCATAAAACTCGTGTTGTACAACCATAGTCATAAAAGGAAGCACTAGGTTACATTATAGACTGGTTGTCTAGGTAGATCAATAGAATTTGAATAATCTATTGTACCTATTGAAATATTCATTAATGTATCTGACAAGTACATTACTGATGTTATTTTTACATAGAAGGTACTAAAAAATCCTACTTGATAGATAAAAACGGAAACGCGAACCTTTAGAAGTTATGCAATCTATTAAACCAGGCTATGGTGATCATCAAATTAACGTAAATAATAAATAATTAATTGTGCATATACTATTTTGTTATTAGAAAACCAAAACAACAGTTTTACAAACTTTGATTAAGTCATTTGGGGTATAAATAGATGCCTACCTTATAACAGTCACAAAAACTATTCTTTGTTTTTTTTTTATAAAAATCTCGTTGAAGGTTTTTTTGTATTTAGATGATATTTTGTTACGCAAATATTTAAAAATTGTACAATCTCACAATTTGGTAAAAAAACAATTGATTTATAGTTATTAAATAAATAACACATACAGGCAAAATGTTTTCTTCGATGATAAACAAATACTTATTTTCATTGGAGCTGAAGTGTAAATAATCGCGTGAAGTTAATTTTTCTTTTAAATTAACCCACTTTTATTAAAGATAAAAACGTATTTATGGAAATCGCAACATAGTTTTTCATGTGCGGTCCGCGTCCGTTTAGCAATTCACTCTTTCATCATGTTCTGCCTAATTAAATGCTGTCTCATTTCTATTTTTTACTTATACAACTTCATAAAGTCCATAATTATATGATTGACTAGTTATTTTTATCGGAAAATGTACAAAAAGTGCTGTATTTTAGGTGCAAAAAGCGATAAATGCAAAGCAAAGTGCCGTCGGGAGCGATTTTTTCGCAAAAAATACGCCTATGCCCGCTGCACCCTCGGGCCGCGACGGAAACCGGCAAATTGCCGTGCACAACAACATTTATCATGAAAACTGAATAAACCGAACGTGTTGTCAGAAGGAATCTGCTCAATTTGAACGAGAATAACGTTATGAATATTTATCCTCGAAAAACATTTTGATAAAACAGAACATTCGAAAGTGAAATGCCGATTTAATCTTTGATGAAGAGGAAATAATTTGTCTGATTGTTCTCGTATTCATTGATGATTTACACGAAAAGGGTATAAACAATCTTCTCAGAACTAAGCAAGTTGCAGGTTTCAGTGTAGTTTGATAACACGCGCAAAGTTTACTTTCATTGTTTATTTTGATTTGCGCAGAACTTGACAGCTCTCGGAAATGTAATTAACCAAACACTTTCGGTTGTTGGTAAATTTGTCAAGTAATAATAGTAGAGATAGTCACTTTGGATCACGTTTTCTACCGTTGAATCATGTTACAAGGTTTTGCTAAAGGATATTGTTCTCATGAGATCATGTCTCAGCTTCTAACCACTAAAAATCTTCTTAGACCTGATTGTCGTTTGACTTACCCCAAAGCACACGCTTTATTGCTACATATTCGTGATTTGTATCACACACAGCACTATGAACCACGTCGCAAACACGATCACAGCGGTAACGAGCGACGGCGGCGCGCGGCCGTACTGACCTGCCACTCTTGGTGATCACCATCTCGGTGCCCAGCTTGTGGAACTTCTCCCAGAGGTCCTTGCCCTCCAGGGTGACCTTCGGGTCATCGACGACTCCGTCGTCGTCGGGGGGTAGCGGCGCGTACAGCGGCGGCGGCGGCTTCAGCAGCGGGCAAGGCGCGGACAGCGCAGCGGCGGCGGCCAGTGCGGCCGGCAGGTACGGCGGGGGCGGCAGGGCTCCCGCCGTCAGCAGCGCCGAAACCGAGAAATCGCTTGGCCGCGGTGCCAGCAACGGATGGAAGGCGACGGCGTCGCGCCGCTCCGCGCCCTCGAAGCGCATGCCCGCGCCGCCCGGGGCCCACGGCGCGCGCTCCACGACCGGCGTGCCCGACGGCTCCAGCGGTCGCGCTCGCGCCCGCTCATGCAAGGTCCATAACGCGCCGGCCGGCGGCTCGCGACACTCTCGTCCCGTGGCGACACCCGCTCGCGCGGCAGGCGTCAAACGACTGCCCGCCGGCGGCGCCGGCTCCGACACCCCTCCCGCGCGCCCGCCCAATGGCGGCTCGGGCCCCGCGCGCGCGCGGCGGGCGGGGCCGCGGCGCCACGGCCGTTGTTTTTTCGTCGCGGCGAGGTGTCCGCCGCCGCCACACCTCGCGGGGCGCGGGGCCCCGCTAATCTGGTTAATGCGGGGGCGACACTCGCGACCGCCGCCTCCTTCTAATTGGACACGTTTCCGTTCGTTCATCAATTGAGCTCGTTACGTTCTCGCAATATCTTTTGTGCCACGCTATTGCTAGCGACCTACCGCTGAACTCGAATGTTGCGGCTCGCGAAACTTTTTTGCTAACGCTGACAAGTTTTCTCCCGGCGAAACATCCAAGTTCGGGTTTGTTAGAAGTTGTTCAATTATGAAGTTGATCAGGCGAGCTTTATAAGAGTCAATAAACTGGATGCTCTCTTAACGTCATAAATGTTTCTTTCAGGTACCGAAACATATTAACTTATGCCTATTATAAATTACCTATTTTTCTTTGAAATAGTTGCTTACAATAATCAAATAAACACGAAATATGTCTTCTTAATGGCTACGAACTACGATATTACGTAGCTACGCGAATGTAGAGTTTGAGTAAAGAAATTCTTCACTCATGTGGTTTGAGTTTTGAATTTGTTTGCTACGTAGACGCGCGCGCTACGTCTTGGCACTGCTTAACGGTATCATTTTTTATTTGCTTTCTTCGATCACACCTACTTAGTTTATCAGTATTAAAATAAAAATATGTTTTCTCCAACTTTTCCTTTTTCTGTTAGGTGATTAAGCCTGTGGAAATAATAATATCGTCTAATCGGCTTATTTTAATATGATGAGATTGATTTTGAATGATGATGTTGTAGGTAGGCGTCTTAATTTATGTTTAAGAAGAAATAATGAAACCTGAAGCATTTTACGATTCGGTATTTAGTGCAAGTGATAAATTAATTACCATTATTTCAATATGAAAGTGTAAAATTACAATATTAAAAAAAGCTTATCTAAATAATAAAAACTGAAAACATAAGATTCATGAAACTTTTGCAAATGAAATCTTCCGTAACTCAAACCCGTGAAGTATTTTTTCAATAAAAATACTATATCATAAATAAAACCTATAAACCTAGTTTTATAAGTAGGTACCTATACCTGTTTCCTGTAATTTATAGAACGTGAAACTCATACAATAATCTATGTAAAAATATTAACTTGGTTTTTAAAAACAAACTCAAGACTTTCAAATAAATAAAATTGTCCGTTGATTTGATTCTGAATGAATTGAATCTTTCTTTTATTTAACACGAGTGAGAAAACATAATTAATTATAATAGTTAATGAAAATTAATCGTCCGTATCATTTAGTTAAGTGTTCGTAATTTTTATCTCAAAACATTATGAAAAGATTAACAACTTTTTACTTTTACTTATGTGAGTAACTTTTATTCATACTTAAAATTGCTCTACTGTTGCGAATATCTTAAATGTGTTGCCTAATACGAATTACCTGTTTCATCTTTTAGTACCTACATGTATTTATTTTGTAGTTTCTTTTTAAAATTTAATTATAACTCACAATAATTAGCTTTCGATTTTAATTTATCTAGTGTAATAATTATAAATACAACGACTATAAATATCTAAATCGTACCTTAACAATAAAATCTTATTAAAATAAACAACATTCACAATTATATTTTTAATCTTGCAGCATTGAAAAAACCTCATGACTATTTTCAAATTCGGTTACAATGCCATCTAGCGGCGAGCGGTAATCAGTTTTACACATTTGATTGAAGATCCGTAGGATAAAATTTACTTTTATTGTTAAAATAATAAGTAGTTTTTCAACTAAGTAGTTTATCGAAAGAAAATGTTTAAATCACTGAGAAACTTAATATACTTTCAGATAAATGATTATGTAGAGCTGTTTAGGATAGGTACGCCATCATTATTATTAGAAGCTCCTACAAATAAATGTCATCAAGACAAACCATGGGCAAGTAAATTATAGTAAACTAAGTTGTTTTCTTTTGTGATAAAAAGATGTTGTAAAAAAACTTTTTTTTTTATTTCCATGTCTATTGTGAACCAAACTCACTATTATATTCAATTTGAATAATCATTAATAGTGTACTTAGAATAACTTTGATCACAATAAATTATCACAGTCTCATTATAATATTATTTGCCAAGTAAACCCTACTCGAACCCATTCATCGCAACCAGTTTAGTATTTATTCAGGGTTAATTATTTTTAATCATGTAAGAGTTACCTTGGTTTATTTAAAAAGCATTGTAAGGATTCAGGTAGGTACTTACACAATATTTTTGTAGCCGTAGGTGGTGAATAAAACAATATTTAAATAGTACAATTCAATAGTATTTTATACGAAACTACGGAATTAACGAAATGTAACTTAATATGAAAAAACTCAAAACTCATTTTATTTTTGCAAGTAGGGATTTTAAAAAGCACTTTTACTAATCAATGTTTTATTAATCCTATTTCAAACTACAAGAGTTTAAAAATGAAATGCAACACGAACGTTTAAATTAAATTTTGTTAACTGATATTTTAATTCAAATACAAATCAATAATTGTTAAAATAACTTGCTCGAATTCTATAATTTTAGGTAAGAAATAGATCATCTCATTTAGTTCATTCAAACTATCCTCAATGGAAACTGAAGAAAGAAACACATTTTGTGCTGAACTTTTTACCCCATCACATTTTTTACTGTTAGGTATTTTATTTTATTTATTTAGGTATACTCGTATCACATAAGAATGATGGACACAGGCCGCTACCAACCGGGCAACATGGAAAGCATTGGGGGAGGCCTTTGTTCAGCAGTGGGCGTCCTATGGCTGAGATGATGATGATGACGATGATCACATAAGAATTTACCTCTTCTACGTTCACACTTTTCAATTAAATAAATAATAGATTCATGTTAAATACGACAGGTGACAAAATCCAAAGGCTCTACCGTCTGATATTAAAATTCCATTCACGATTCACTCGAACACGAAAGAATGCTTTATTGTGTTAATGCTGACAATTAATACCCTGACATTTTCATAGAGACAACCTGTCAGTACATATTTGTGTTGAACAATTATGGTACTGATGATAAACGATTTGAGTACAAGTATTTTTATGTGCAAAATGACGGTCGAATGATTATAATTTTGTTTTAATATTAATGTAAGGCTTAGGCGTAGTTGTTGTCACATTTTGGATTATGTTGTGTTACGAGAACGTATATTTCATTTTCATACTACGAGTATTGTGTCAATTACTAAGTATTAAGTACTCGTAGAATAATTTTAGCAGAGCGTTTTGCTGCTTTCATAGTAAAGCCTTTTGTACTCAGCAGTACTGTTTTTTTAACAGACATTTTTCAAGTAGTGTCTATGTTTGTCACAGAGAACAACAAGGAAATTCAATGAAATTGTCCATGTTTGTGAATTATGGGTTATGGAGTAAAGATTTGAATTTCGTGTAACTCAAGTCGCGGGCGTCCGCTAGTTAAAGAAAACTAAATTATACAGAATTAAGGTTTGGGCAGGGACATAGAGAACATCTTGCATCATAAATAAATTAATAACAAGGTGTTTGCAGTAGGTAGGTAGGTACAGCAGCTTTTATTAATACATTGATAATTGTGATCCTATTTGTAGTAAGTAAATAGAGCGATACTATCAAAGTATTTTTCGTTTTATTTTTGTAGCAAAATAGTACCTAAACTACAGAGATGCTAAAAGTATACATGTATATTTCGTTTTATGTGCTGTCGTCCATAATAGTCCCACCTGGGTAGCCACTAATTACAACTACATCTAGATAACACATCTAAGTATCGAACTTGCTATCGAATCGATCTGCAAAATGTCGATAATTATTACACGACACAATTTTATTTTACTTCGCAACATCTTTTTATTATCTTCGCCTCCCATTTAAAATTCAAATTCACGAACCCTCAAGGAGGAAATATTCGATAATTGTAGCATCTAAACCACAATGACATTCGGTAAGTAACAAATCTCTTTAGAACGAGAGACAACCTTGTCGTACTCGGCACTCGCGAATTTTCCCAGTGGATTTTGAAGGAAACTCGTGTCTCTGAATGTGACAAGGTTGCTGCTGATTTTGAAGGGGATTGGGGTAGATCGGATAATAGGAACGACTCAAAAGAGTATGATCGGGAAAATTCGGTTATGAGAATTGAAATCGGGGAGGGGAAGGTGTCTGAGCTTCAACCTGAATTTAAATTGCGGACGTTTCGTAACACTTGATGGTAATTCCTACGGTTGGAAAATTCCAATATTCCATTAATTTCCATGGAATTATTAGGACTACCCTATTCTGTTTTGATATTCGTACATTAGGCTATTCTATACTTTTTGTTTTGGATTAAATTGATGAAAAGAACTACAAATTTTGTTTTTTTTTCGAGAAAATTATTGCTTTATTGACACATCGTCATAGATAAAAGCGTATGGATGATGTCAGATATCGAACAAACTTATTTCATGGAGTACTGGAACGAATTCATTGTAGCAATTAAGAGGAGATACAGATTACAAGTTTGCGTCATTCATGCCTCGATCAACTAAACAAAAAACATGCGATGGGGTTTTTAACGGCCTACTATAGAACACAATAACTGCGATTAAAATATCGGTACTTCTCTCCTCCATTAATGTTTGCAGAATGTTTTTTAAATAGAAATAGAAAAAACCTTACTGACAAAGTGTACATTTTTCAGGTTTTTGCCTTTATGTTGTTTTAATTCACGAAGGCGAGGAAGCTTTACATGTGTGGTGGCTCGCTACTGTTCGTTTTTCAAAAGTTTTGACAGACATTACACTATCGTTGTGTGCATGTACACGTACACACACAAGTAAAGCTCACTATTCGTGAGTTGCAAGAACTATACCTTTAAACTTTAA